ATAGGGTGTTCTTACTGCGGCCACTACTCTAACACATAACTGTACATAAATATATAGAGTGTTCTTACTGCGGCCACTACTCTAAGACATAACTGTACATAAATATATAGGGTGTTCTTACTGCGGCCACTACTCTAAGACATAACTGTACATAAATATATAGAGTGTTCTTACTGCGGCCACTAAGACATAACTGTACATAAATATATAGGGTGTTCTTACTGCGGCCACTAAGACATAACTGTACATAAATATATAGGGTGTTCTTACTGCGGCCACTACTCTAAGACATAACTGTACATACATATATATAGTGTTCTTACTGCGGCCACTACTCTTCACAACCATTAGAACTCGTCCAGCAGACAGGGTTTCAGTCGGAAACCAGTTGTCCGCTGTTGTCCACCCACCCATCCGTTAGAAAAACATCAAACCGGCCTAGAGAAACAACTAGCTCAAACTGGGACAACCACCGGGTCTCATGCGTGGCTCAGTGCTTACGTCGTTCGCCAGTTCAAGGAAGCAGGTACGCTCAGAATTCAGGGTTAGGTCTGGTACGCGGTTCAAGTCGTACTTCGGTCGGTGGGTCGTTGTCCGCGGTATTTAGAATTAATGTCAACGATTGAAACAAAAATGGCTTAGTACCTGCGGACTGCTGGTTGGGCGGGGTTCCACACCAGCCTCTCCCCCAGAGGGTGGCGGTTTTTTATTTGCGTCACCCTCTGGGTGGATGCTGGAAACGGGCCACAAGTGAGGCTTTTGCTGTTTTTTGTTCCACTTTGTTGATCTTTAAAAAAAAATAGTTTTATAGGAAGAGTAGTCGTTCCGTAGTTAAGTAAAATCAATTGTTCACAGTCTCCGAATGATAACTAAACAAACCAATAAAAATATATTATAAGAAATATGTCTTTAAAAAAAAATTGTTTTTGTTTGTTTGTTGGTGTGGGTTTACTATACACTAAATAATTTTACGTTTAGTAGTCATCGACTGCTTAGTTAACATACCATTTTCGAAATCAGCGTTAAGCAGTCTGCTGTCAGATCGCTTGCAGCTGAAGCCGGCATTTTGGATTTAGGAATAGCATGTGTAACCACTTAGCTAAGGCGACCATGACTGGTGAGATTTTCAAAGGGCAGGTTCTTTGGTATGCCAGATGGCACCGTTATTTAGGGCATGCAACCACAACCGAACAAATTGTGGTGGAACATTGACACTGACAATGCATTGAACCAGGGAGGCTTTCAAATATAGACTCGCTGTAGCCACGGTCGGTATACGAAACCAGGTGGTTCCCAGCCTCCAGGAAATGGGTACCAGAGTTGACACTCTGGGGTGAATGGAGGAGCGTCGCTGTAGCTACAGAGTTTCGTGCGGACGGCTACACAGGCGGACAGTTTCTTATCAGCTGTGGTGGCAGAGCACTTATGGTTTATAACCGTGTCCAATGACGCTGATTCACATCTCCCAACTTTTCTGTAAAAACTTACTATAACCTTACTGGAGAAAGTTTTAAGCAAATGAGGACATGCGATGATGGAGAGTATCTTGGCGGTGACGAACTCCTTGTGGTCCGGGTTATACGGTACGTATCGTGGAATCATGGCCGAAGGGTTGCAATATCCATAGTACCTAGCCAAAGGGTAAACAACTCTTGGTTTGTGGATGTTTTAAAAAAAAAAAGCGTCTCTAATTATCAGTTTTTCGCATTATCGAATAGATGTACGGACGCAGGGATAGCTAGCTAAATAAAGGAAAGCCTGGATATGACCTATAAAAATATCAGAATAATATACAAATAATGACAAATAACTCACATTTTTACAATATGTTACATTTTTTCAAAACGAATTCCTTGAATAAATTATTTTGTAATTTAGCCAGGCGACGCTTTTATTGTGATTTAGAATCCTAGATGGATTTTGTAAAGAATTATGTAATATGTTTCCTGTAAATTATAAAAGATTATACTAGAAATTATTTTAGTGCATAATTTATACGATGCAACTTCAATAAAAAGATTGCTTTAAAAATGTTCTTGCTTGGATTTGGTGATTATGGCAAATGTTCAGCGCACTGTTAGTCGCCCTCTTACGGCATGCATGGTAGATTGCGGTTTATTTACCTAATTGTAGGTGCCTGTACCTATTTTTCCTAGAGGTAATAGCATCATCATCATCTTGTGTCTGGATGCGTCGCAAAGGGCTAGCAGTAGTTCCAGTACGTTCTGTGCCTTGATATATGGATGCGTTATGAGTTTTGAGATTATCTTCACAGCGCTCCTGACACATCCATAGGTGCTCAGACTCCCCTCTCAGACTATGCATCAGCGTCGCGCGGTTAATGGTGCCAGTTGGTTAAAAAGACTTTGTGTGCGTCCGGTGTGCTTCTCACGCCTGGTCGTGCCGATCTTTACTTCCAATTCGCGTATTCTTGGCTATGATGTGGACACGTTGCTTCCAAAATCCTCAGAATGTCCTATCTCTCTAAGGGCAATGACAATGTCTGCCTGATCCATGGGCCGGCCATCTTCAATTAATGCAGCACCTACCAGTCTTTCAGCTTTTCAAATGGATGCATGACAGACTTGATGAGGCCCTGATCTGTTCAAAGTCGCGAGGTCCCAATCAGATGCAGTACCAGATGCAGTCATGGGAAGTAAAGGCGGCTGGCGTGATACTGACCACATTACCCACCAAGTGCCGTTTTTGTCTATCAAACATAGGTCTAGCCCGTGGAGAAGGGTCCTTTTTATACCTATATAAGAAGAAAACTGCATTTGTAAAACAAAATATAAATTTGACGCCCCTACATATTGTGATGTCCTAAGCTGTAGTTTAAAACTTATCCTTGACTGACTTTAGCACTGTACGGAGGGAAACCACTGCAGAACCGGACGTCGTCGCTTCTTTCTCCATGAACTGCCTGTTTGGCGTTTCTGTTTGCTTCTGCGCAGAATGGGCCCAGTATGTTGCCATATTTTTCTCCCCATTGTAAACCCGCTCTTACCACTCTCTAAAATTTTGGATTGTCCTGTGACGTCGTTTATGGTCAGCTAAAAAGAAAGCATTGTTTGGTGCTAGACTCTTTGAGTCTAATCGGCGACGATAGGTCATGTGGTTGATATCGATTCTTCCGCCTTTACTTTCCATAAATTTTCCTGGTCGTCATTGTTAATTAAGGCTGTCTTGACAGAAAACACTGAGTAAGTTATAAATGTCCGACTCCGTGACGATTCGAAGAGCGTAAGTCCAGTCGCGCCATCGTAGAGAAAGCTGGATGAGGGGGTGACGTAGGAAGGTACCGTCGTAGAGAAAGCGGGATGAGGGGGTGACGCAGGAAGGTACCGTCGTAGAGAAAGCGGGATGAGGGGGTGACGTAGGAAGGTACCGTCGTAGAGAAAGCGGGATGAGGGGGTGACGTAGGAAGGTACCGTCGTAGAGAAAGCGGGATGAGGGGGTGACGCAGGAAGGTACCGTCGTAGAGAAAGCTGGATGAGGGGGTGACGTAGGAAGGGACCGTCATAGAGAAAGCAGGATGAGGGGGTGACGTAGGAAGGTACCGTCGTAGAGAAAGCGGGATGAGGGGGTGACGCAGGAAGGTACCGTCGTAGAGAAAGCGGGATGAGGGGGTGAAGCAGGAAGGTACCGTGGTAGAGAAAGCGGGATGAGGGGGTGACGTAGGAAGGGACTGTCATAGAGAAAGCTGGATGAGGGGGTGACGTAGGAAGGTACCGTCGTAGAGAAAGCTGGATGAGGGGGTGACGTAGGAAGGGACCGTCTTAGAGAAAGCGGGATGAGGGGGGTGACGTAGGAAGGGGCCTTCAGCCACCCAGCTCCCGGTTGGGGTGGGGGAACTGAAAGGACCTAATCTTAGTTTACTAGCATAACAAAAACAGGAATAACAATATCCTTAATAAAAAAATAAATAGAAAACGAGTATACAACTACAGTTGAAAAAGATCGCTGGCATCATGGGAGCTAATAGACTGAAATGGCTGGGGCATGTTGAGAGATTATCAGATGAGAAGTGGTGGGAGGTGGGGGGTAGAAAATAACTACACACAAGAAAGAATGAATGGTTGTAGACCACGAGGCAGACCAAGAAAACTATGGAGAGATAACGTCCAGACAGACCTGCAAACACTTGGTTTCACCAACTGCAAAAAGAAGGCCAACCAGAGAGATGAATGGAGGCGGGTGATATCTGCAGCAATAAACTCAAGGGCTTGGAAGCAGAAGTTGAAAATGTTTGAATAAATACTTGAAAGGAGAACTTCTCTTCATAACAAAAATGGCTGCTTAGCTTTATTCAGAAAATTTCTTTACATACTCCTGAGATTTTTAATGGGATTTGAGAAGGGGCAGGGGAGCTCAGGTAGCCTTGACCCACAGGTACCAGCGCCTATAGTGTAAGCTACCCCTTCTTTGCCTGAAACAACTCACTCTGCGTTTTATAGGTTCTGCTTACATGTTAACCCCTTCTTTGCCAAAAACAACTTACTCTGCTTTTGTTAGGTTCTACTTACAAATTTTAACAACCCCTTCTTTGCCAAGTAACTAAGACTTAGTTTGTTATGTTCTATTTACATATAAAGAGCGACTTTTTTTTTTTTTTTTTTTGCCAAGCAACTCACCATGCGTTTGTTAGGTTTATTTACATGTTAACAACCACTTTTTTTTGCACCCAAAAAACAACTCACTCTGCGTTTGTTAGGTTTATTTACATGTTAAACCCTTCTTTGCGAAAATAAACTTACCCTGCATTTGTTAGGTTCTACTTCCTATTTAGCCCCTTTTTTGCCAAAAACCACTCATCCTGCGTTTGTTAGGCAAATAACTCACTCTGCGTTTGTTAATTTTCTCTCACACGTTAATCCCTTCTTTACCAAGCAAGACTAAAACTAAACCGTTGTTGCTGTTTGTACAATAACTTTAAGATAGACTGGTTCACATTGAGAACCACTTAAGGCTCGAATACGCTTGGCATTGAAAGAGTGAAGGTCTCGTCTCAGGCAGGCGGCAGACGACGAGCCCGACCCGCTGGACTTGGACGCGGTTTCGAGTATGCTACAGCGGCTGACCGGCACACAGAAAGAGGTTCTCTACAATGCCACGGACACCAGGTCGGAGCAGGAGCTCATTGATGTCCTCAACACAACCATCATGAGGCCCCGGCAGTTTGAGGTGACTTTGATGGAGGTGAGTTCTCACTGCGTGTTGTGGTATTTGTGGACTGTTCATTGGATATGTAAGATTGATGTACAGACGGACGGACGGGTAAATATTTTGCTTAAAGGATTATTGGATGGACGGATGGATAAATAGATAGATTAACAGACAGATAAAAAGGTAGGTAGACATATAGATAGATAGACAGACAGTTAATAGGTAGGTGGGCAGGTGTATGGATTGATGGGCAGAAAGAAAAATAATTGGATAGATGGGCAAAAAATAAAGAAAGATGGATATGCGGCAATTTAAAAAAAAGAAAGAAAGAAAGAAAAAGGAAAGAAAGAAAGAAAGAAAGAAAGAAAGAAAGAAAGAAAGAAAAGAAAGATTAGAGGTAAAAGATAACTGAGCAGAAAGAAAGAAAGAAAGAAAGACAGAAAAAAGAATAGAGAAGGGAAGAAAGAAAGAAAGAAAGAAAGAAAGAAAGAAAGAAAGACAGAGAAGACAGAGAACAGAGCGACAGAGAAAGAGACAGAAAGAAAGAAAGAAAGACAGAGAAGAGAACCGAAAGAAATAGAAGATAGATAGAAAGATAGATAGATAGATAGAAGAAAAGAAAGATAGATAGATAGAAAGAAAGATAGATAGATAGATAGATAGATTAGATAATAGAGGATAACTGAGCAGAGAAGAAATAATGATAGACGAACAGAGAAAAACGTTATAGGCAAAGGGAAGAAAGATAGATTAGATGGGAGAAAAAACTCAGATCTTTCAGACAGCAGTTGTATTTCATCAGACAAAGCAGTTATGTTCAGACAGACAGACAGAATAGATAGATAGATAGATAGATAGTAAGATCAGATAGATAGATATGAGATAGATAGAAGACTTTCATTTTCAAGGTGTTACAAATATTAAGGCACGCAGGCCTGTCTTACATTCGGCCCTTCCAAATGAGATATATGGTTCAATCACACAGCAGTTGTATATTCATCAACGAAGCATGTTATGTTCATGTAATAGTATGCATACTATGAATATCATTTTGGTGTATATAAGAGTCAGTCATGGGCCCTTTGGTGTATCAGATATATGGTAAGAGTCAGTCATGGACACTTTGGTGTATGAGATATATGGTAAGAGTCAGTCATGGACACTTTGGTGTATCAGATATATGTTAAGAGTCAGTCATGGACACTTTGGTGTATCAGATATATGGTAAGAGCCAGTCATGGACCTTTTAGTTATCAGATATATGGTAAGAGTCAGTCATGTACCCATTGGTGTATCAGATATATGGTAAGAGTCAGTCATAGACCCTTTGGTGTATCAGATATATGGTAAGAGTCAGTCATGGACACTTTGGTGTATCAGATATATGTTAAGAGTCAGTCATGGACACTTTGGTGTATCAGATATATGGTAAGAGTCAGTCATGGACCTTTTGGTGAATGAGATATATGGTAAGAGTCAGTCATGGACCCATTGGTGTATCAGATATATGGTAAGAGTCAGTCATGGACCCTTTGGTGTATCAGATATATGGTAAGAGTCAGTAATAGACCTTTTGGTGTATGAGATATATGGTAAGAGTCAGTCATAGACCCTTTGGTGTATGAGATATATGGTAAGAGTCAGTCATAGACCCTGTGGTGAATCAGACATACGGTAAGAGTCAGTCATGGACCCTTTGGTGTATCAGATATATGGTAAGAGTCAGTCATGGACCTTTTGCCAGACCTTTTGGCGCATTTGGTATATAATGTTATATTTTTATAAGACCACTCGGCACTCGATGGGTAATGTGGTCAACATCACGCTGGTCTCCTTTACTTTCCATGACATTTCCACGTACCCACTCAGGCTGGGTCGACCTGAATTCCCTAACTGTGGATCAGCAGGCGTGAGTCTAGCCGCTAAACTACGGTGGCTGCCATGGTATATATGCTACTGAACCTTGTTTTGATGATATGGTGTGTTCTTGATCTCTTCTTCTAACTTGACCTCCCATTATATTTTCGGTACCTATAAAATGTGTTTACATTCTTGCTAGCTCGCGTAGTCGTTAGTTTGTTATGTGTGCAAGGATGTGGTTTTGTAGAGGCATGACGAGAACACCTTTTCTTGGCACTTTTCCGTCTTTCCAATATGGAAATCACAGCCCATGGTGATACCAGTTAAAGCCATAGATGAAGTGTCTCCTCTCCTTAGCACAAAGCCCGGGCAATAACAGAGACAGTTTGTGCATCGTTATCCCTGTCTCCACCTGCTTTGTTGAACACTGAAGGAAACATAACACCAGTACGTTTTGCTACAGAAGGTGTCAGATCAGAAATGCAGGATTTTGTCCACCTGTAAGAGATTTCATTGTTGAGAAAGGTGGAGGACAGGCATGCTCCATGCAGAGTGGCAAGCATTGCTTCATAGGTCCCGATAGTAAGCGTCCTTTGAAAATATGATCTCAGGGTATGCTACTGTGTTAACAAACGAGCATGCAGATAGACTGGCCGGTTTTGCAACACTTTGAGGTGACTTGTGTGTGACAGGCTGGATGTCGAGGAGCGAGTCAACAGTGCGGTGACAAAAAAAGACCATTGCTATATGAGGAGAATGGCGCTGCGAGGAGTTACTAAGGAATCTGGCCGACGCTCAGCACTCAACTGAAAAGGCGAGACGGATGTACAGTCAGACAGTTACTGCTACCATCGGAATGAAAACTCTTTGCTTGCTGCTGAAAATAGTGAGGGAGCCCTTATGTGAGTGTCCCGAGTACTGTGACGTCGATTCAACATTCAGAGATTCCTCCTAGACCAGCTGTCCGCCAAGGTTGAAGAGCTTGATTGCCCTTGAAAACATCATGGCCAGATACACAGAGTAACGTTGATGCCTTCCGCATGAGAAGCAAGTACCGCACCAGAAAAACTGATCTATATTGGTTCTAGCATCGAGTGCCAGATACGCTAATGGTGCGAAGTGTTGTTATTTCAGTCCTGAGTAACGTATAAAGTGTGAATGGTTCTTTCTGCTTGCGTCCTAACCAGCGCACAAAATGTTATCACACGTTGTAGATTTGGCAACAGTATGCTAAAGAAGTCGGAGTCTGTGGCTTAGGTGTTGTGAACGAGCTTCGTAATGCCGCGGTTCCAGGTTCGATCCCAGCTGGGGGTTTTGACAATGGTATCGAGAAACCGACCGTCCAGAAAACAATAGCAAACTACTGGACGTAAATTTGCCTAGAAAATCCCCAACAGCCAAAAAATGCTGTAGTTGGTTCTGCAACGTCCTGTAAAGGATACGCAACTAACATGCCAAAGGAATGTGTCTTCTGCATTGCTTGCCTTGTTTAAAAGTTTTTAATAAAATAGTTTTTGCTGCATCCTCAGTAAATGCTAGACATCGTCTGAATCTAAAAGAAGTTACTGTCTGTTATTGTTTTGTTTAACCTACGCACCACCATATCACTCCCAAGACTCTCTTGATGTTGTTTTGTTTAACCTATGCTACACCCTATCACACCGAAGACTGTCTTGATGTTTTGTTTAACCTACGCTACACCCTATCACACCAAAGACTGTCTTGATGTTTTGTTTAACCTACGCTACACCCTATCACACCAAAGACTGTCTTGATGTTTTGTTTAACCTATTCTACACCCTATCACACCAAAGACTGTCTTGATGTTTTGTTTAACCTACGCTACACCCTATCACACCAAAGACTGTCTTGATGTTTTGTTTAACCTATTCTACACCCTATCACACCGAAGACTGTCTTGATGTTTTGTTTAACCTATTCTACACCCTATCACACCAAAGACTGTCTTGATGTTTTGTTTAACCTATGCTACACCCTATCACACCAAAGACTGTCTTGATGTTTTGTTTAACCTATGCTACACCCTATCACACCAAAGACTGTCTTGATGTTTTGTTTAACCTATTCTACACCCTATCACACCAAAGACTGTCTTGATGTTTTGTTTAACCTACGCTACACCCTATCACACTGAAGACTGTCTTGATGTTTTGTTTAACCTATGCTACACCCTATCACACCAAAGACTGTCTTGATGTTTTGTTTAACCTACGCTACACCCTATCACACCAAAGACTGTCTTGATGTTTTGTTTAACCTATTCTACACCCTATCACACCGAAGACTGTCTTGATGTTTTGTTTAACCTACGCTACACCCTATCACACCAAAGACTGTCTTGATGTTTTGTTTAACCTATTCTACACCCTATCACACCGAAGACTGTTTTGATGTTTTGTTTAACCTATTCTACACCCTATCACACCGAAGACTGTCTTGATGTTTTGTTTAACCTACGCTACACCCTATCACACCGAAGACTGTCTTGATGTTTTGTTTAACCTACGCTACACCCTATCACACCGAAGACTGTCTTGATGTTTTGTTTAACCTATTCTACACCCTATCACACCAAAGACTGTCTTGATGTTTTGTTTAACCTACGCTACACCCTATCACACCAAAGACTGTCTTGATGTTTTGTTTAACCTACGCTACACCCTATCACACCAAAGACTGTCTCGATGTTTTGTTTAACCTACGCTACACCCTATCACACCAAAGACTGTCTCGATGTTTTGTTTAACCTACGCTACACCCTATCACACCAAAGACTGTCTTGATGTTTTGTTTAACCTATTCTACACCCTATCACACCAAAGACTGTCTTGATGTTTTGTTTAACATACGCTACACCCTATCACTCCGAAGACTGCCTTGATGATGTTTTGATTTCACGAGCAGACATTTGATTCCCTATTTGACCTGTTCAGTTTCAGGAGTACCGCATCCAGAAGTTCCTGCTCCTCTACATACCCCCCATACTCATCCTTCTGGGGACGTTTGGAAACCTCTTCTCCTTCATCGTGCTACGTCGCAAACCGATGCTCAAGGTGTCCTCCTACATGTACTTGGGTGAGTGGTTTACATTTGTTGGGTTGGGGGTGGGGGGGGGGGGTGGGGGGTGGGGAATCTCTGTCAGTAGGGGTTCTAAACTCTTCGCCAACGGGTCAGCCTAGTAATTACTACCGTCTCTGTGCCAGGTGAACAACAACACATAAAGCCAATCGCTGTCTCGTGAGAACAGTCAGCAGTCCTGGCAACATCCAACTGCTTGCACACGCTTCAAATATAAAGGCAGTCGTAACGGGTGTCAACACATACTATGACTATTTATAGCTGATGGAAGCAGCTGTCACGCACACACACACATACACCCGTACACACATACACACGCTTTCGTGCAGTTAAACACAAATCAACAAATTCAGCAGACGCACACGCATTATTGCATAAGGCACGGCGTATGTTTGTTTGATTGGGAATTTTGCTGCCTACTGGTTTGAGGGGGTTTGTTGTTTGGGTTATCGATTGAGTTCAGGAGTGTCTGCTGGCTGGCTGGTTGGTTAGTTGGCAGGCTGGCTGGTTGGTTAGTTTGCAGGCTGGCTGGTTGGTTGGTTGGCTGGCTGGCTGGCTGGTTGGTTGGTTAGTTGGTTGGTTGGTTCTTTGGTTGGTTGGGTGGCTGGTTGGTTGGGTGGCTGGTTGGTTGGTTGGCTGGGTAGTTGGCTGGCTGGTTGGTTGGCTGGCTGGCTGGTTGGCTGGGTGGCTGGCTGGTTTGTTGGTTTATTAGCTGGCTGGTTGGTTGGGTGGCTGGCTGGTTGGGTGGCTGACTGGTTGGGTGGCTGGCTGACTGGTTGATTGATTGGCTGGCTGGTTGATTGGTTGGCTGGCTGGCTGGCTGTTTAGTAGGTTGGCTGTTTGGCTGGCTGGTTGTTTGGCTGGCTGGCTGGTTGGTTGGGTGTCTGGCTGGTTGGTTGGCTGGCTTGCTGGTTGGCTGGCTGGCTGGCTGGATGGTTGGCTGGCTGTTTGGTTGGTTGTGTGCATGGTTGAATGCATTAGTGTCTTCTTTCTTTGTTGGTTATTTTGTTAGATGGCTACAAGGTGAAGTCCACGGGTGACTTGTTGGTTAGGTGTATTTTTTTGTGTATTATGTATGTATTATTATTAATTATGTATGTATTATTGTGTATTATATTAGCACAGTCGAGGTTTGTTCGTTTGTCCATCACAAGTGATGAGGACCATTCTTTCTTTCATCCGTCATACAACTGCAGTTGAGTGTTTGTGAGTCCGGAGTTGGCTTATAAGTCGAATACGTGCCCGAAAGAGTCTAGGACAATGAGTGTCTGTAGACAAAGGGCCTGTTTGACGGACAGTCGAAGTTACTGTACATCTCAAAATCTATACTGGCTCCTATTTAAGGCTGGGTCGATCTAGTAGCCAAGGTCATGTTCAAGAAAGAAATAAAATCAGGCACCATGCGACTTTGAACCCAGGACCTTCGGATCCACAGGCGAGCGCCTCTCTCTCCACCCACCACACTAAGTGCTGATTGGTCTATAAAATATGAGTCTCGAATGAAGTGTATGTTGGAAGAGACGGTGATGGAGGATGCAGTTTATGGAAGGCAAGGCAGGGGTCGACCACCGCGAAGATGGACACAGGATAATGAAGATGCATCGCAACTGAAAGCGCATGGGGCCGAAGAGCTGGCTAGGAAAAGGGATACTTACGTGCTTGCCGCGAAGGGAGCGACGTTCTGTAAAAGACTTGCTAATTGATGATGATGATCAAGTGTATGATGCATGTACCGTAACGTCAGAAGGTATAAAAAAAACAGACCCTGGGTAGAACTATTGAGATTGGCTGGGTCAGTGTGACAGCTAGATACATAGGTAGAGAACATAAGTAGAGAACATAAGTGAAGAACATAAGTAAAGAATAAAAGTAAAGAACATGTAAAGAACATAAGGAGAGAACATAAGTGAAGAACATAAGTAAAGAATATAAGTAGAGAACATTAGTAGAGAACATAAGTAGAGAACATAAGTAGAGATAATAAGTAAAGAACATAAGTAGAGAACATAAGTAAAGAACATAAGTAGCGAAAATAAGTAGAGAACACAAGTGAAGAATATAAGTAAAGAACATAAGTAGAGAACGTAAGGAGAGAACATAAGTGAAGAACATAATTAAAGAATATAAGTAAAGAACATAAGTAGAGAACATAAGTAGAGAACATAAGTAAAGAACATAAGTAGAGAACATAAGAAGAGAACATAAGTAAAGAACATAAGTAAAGAAAGTAAGGAGAGAACACAAGGAGAGAACATAATAGAGAACAAAAATGAAGAATATAAGTTAAGAATATAAGTAAAGAATATAAGCACAGAATATAAGCAAAGAATATAAGTAAAGAATATAGGTAAAGAATATAAGCAAAGAATATAAGTAAAGAATAAAAGCACAGAATATAAGTAAAGAATGTAAGCACAGAATATAAGTAAAGAATATAAGCACAGAATATAAGTAAAGAATAAAAGCACAGAATATAAGTAAAGAATACAAGTAAAGAATATAAGCACAGAATATAAGCACAGAATATAAGTAAAGAATATAAGCACAGAATATAAGTAAAGAATATAAGCACAGAATATAAGTAAAGAATAAAAGCACATAATATAAGGAAAGAATATAAGTAAAGAATATAAGCAAAGAATATAAGCAAAGAATATAAGTAAAGAATATAAGCAAAGAATATAAGCAAAGAATATAAGCAAAGAATATAAGAGAAGAATGAAAGCAAAGAATATAAGTAAAGAATATAAGCAAAGAATATAAGCAAAGAATATAAGAGAAGAATAAAAGCAAAGAATATAAGTAAAGAATATAAGCAAAGAATATAAGTAAAGAATTTAAGTAAATAGTTAGTAGAAAACATTAGTAGAGAACATAAGTAGAGAATATAAGTAGAGAACTTTAATAGAGAACATTAATAGAGAACAAAAGTGAAGAACATAAGAAGAGAGCACAATTAAAAAACGTAAGTAGAGAACATAAGTAGAGAACAGGAGTGAAGAACATAATTAACAACAGAAGAGAACATAAGTAGAGCAAATAGGTAGAGAACAAAAGTAAATAACATAAGTCACATGTCCACATCGGCAACTGCATCGTCCATAGTCTGGCCGGTAGACGACTTCGTCGCCGGTCTGGACAGTATTAGAGTCGGTCTTCCTTAGCTGCATCAACACTGCAGCAGTCCTTTTCACGGCTTTACTAAGCCATTTTATCTGGCGCACATAACCTAGTCACAATTATAACCTAAAGCTCTCCCTTTAGGGATGCTGGTTGAGCCGGTGATGTTTGTTTCTAGCATTATCATACGAGGTCTTAACATTCCACGCATGTTGACTTAATTCTCTGGGAGCGCAAGAACTGGCAGACTGTGTACAAGAGACAGTACTTCAAGACAGCTCCTGTAGTGTGCTTACACAGCCTACATGGGTACAGTCGTCAACTACTTAAGACTTCGATTTCTTGGGAAAGCGGAAAGCGTTTGACCCCCTAGAGATTAACGTATCTGCATTTGGTGAATTGGTCGATGTAAACTTTGTGTAGAAAAACTATAAAAATACTTGCACTTGACAGAAGCCCATTAAGAACTCCGGGTGTTAAAACTATCTAGACGAAGAAAACTATCCAAGGAAATTCAATCAGAAAGCATTAACATCAAGTGATACTTATTTTTGAAGAAAAAAACAAAAAAAACTTGTACAGACAATCACATTACTCCGGGGAAATAACAGTGGGAACACAGCAAAAATGCAAACATACAGACAGTATTGTAAGCTGCCAGATCTTTTGACGAACTCTCTAACAGAAAGGAAAAAAACGATGATAAATGAGAAAAAGTACGCTCCATTGGACTTTGTTGTTTACGGGATGACATATCAGACAGACGGAAGAGATTACTGGACGCAAATTTGTTCTTAAACACAGAAAACAAGGCAATAAATTCCATTTCACTGGAGCAGTCGGGACAACTGGGGTAGAAAACTTCAACGTGGGGAGGTATTTCTGGAAGTAATAACGGGAATGTAGTCGGCGTTAGGAGAAATGTTTGACAGGAGAGAGTGGAAGTGATTATATCTCGTGTAAAACATGGTAATCTCGGAAATACGAGGTGCTGGATATTGACACTATAAATCATTCATTATGGTTGTTGTAATTCAAAGTAATTCAGAAAGTATCTCAACTATAAATCGTATATTATGTTTGTTGTAATTCAAAGTAATTCAGAAAGTATCTCAACTATAAGTCATTCACTATAGTTGTTGTAATTCAAAGTAATTCCGAAAGTATCTCAACTATAAATCATTCACTATGGTTGTTGTAATTCAAAGTAATTCAAAAAGTATATCAACTATAAATCATTCACAATAGCTGTTGCAGTTCAAAGTAATTCAGAAAGTATCTCAACTATAAATCGTTTATTATGGTTGTTGTAATTCAGAAAGTATAGCGGGAGTTGTGTATATTGTACCTATTAATCACTCATTGTGGTTGTTGCAATTCAAAGTAATTTAGAAAGTATGGAGGGAGATCTGTACAGTGTACCTATAAATCATTCATTATGTTTGTTGTAATTCAAAGTAATTCAGATAGTATAGAGGGAGATGTATATTGTGTAACTATAAATCGTTAATTATGGTTGTTGTAATTCAAAGTAATTCATATAGTATAGAGGGAGATGTATATTGTGTAACTATAGATCGTTAAGTATGGTTGTTGTAATTCAAAGTAATTCAGATAGAATAAAGGGAGATGGGTATTTTGTAACTATATATATATAGAACAGAAATCGAGAAACTGGACAGCTAGTCACCTGACAAACCTCAACCTAGAACTCATAGGAAACTAAATTTGTCTGTTGCTTTCTGTGCTGTCTTACTGACGCTAAATTCCACTGTCTTCGAAATGTATAGGTTTGAGGTTTAAACAACGGATCAGCATCATGACACACGGGTAGTAACCAATAAGTGCTCGACTCTTCTTCTAACTCAAGTCTGAGTCCGAAGAAGCTCAGCACAGTGTACAGGCTCTGTATCACCGGCGAGGATCCTGATTTACTTTGGGTAGATTTTTAACTCCAAATTTTGCCTAGGCAGCTCCGTTAGGCTACACTTTTCGATTTCCAACTGGCGCATGATTTTTTACGTGCGCAACAATGCGCACGGGTGTCTGATCTTACTACCCTGAAATCAGGGGGAATTACTAGAAGTCCAGGTCTACGTGAAAAAATCCCAGCCCTTAGCGGGGATTGAACCCAGAACCTTTAGCTCTCGAGGCGGATACCATTCCTTGAGACCACACAGCATCCTGGAACTGTGTAGCTAATTGTCTAATCCCACAGTAATTGCATTGTTTCTCCCAGCGGTGCTGGCAATCATCGACACTCTAGTCTTATACAACGGCCTGTTACGGATTTGGCTTGTGGAGCTGATCGGCTTCGACTACCAAGGAGCGGGAAATTGGATCTGTAAAATAACGGTGGCCTTTGGTTACGTGTCCAGCGACTTGTCCGTCTGGCTGATCATTGCTGTTACCGTGGAAAGGTATTGCTTGATTTGTTCTTATTATTTAGCGATTATCGTGTCTGTTGGCATTATCTCCCCGTCGTTCTTGTGTTTGTTATGTCTTCTCTGCCTTATTCTGATCATTCGTCCTTCGGCCTCTCCTTACATCTGATTGCTCCTTTGTTTTTTCTTCTTCTTGGTGTCTATTGGGGGCCTCATTTGACAAGTGGGAGGAGAGGGGTGGAGCGGGGTGCAAGGAAAATGGGAGGGGGGCTTTACCGGTTAAAAAACATATTGAACAATACGACTAATTAAGGGTTAGCTGAGGTTTGAGATTTTGAACAACGGATCAACATCATGGCACACGGGTAGTAACCCATAAGTGCTCCCTTCTTCTAACTAAAATCTGAGACTGAGGTTAGCTCGGATAGATGGAATTGGGCCTGAATGCTCTCAGTGCCAGAGAACTCGCAGTACTTTCACTAGTTTACTCTGTATAGGCTGTACCAAATCTGTGAAAAGAAAACGCTTCTCAAGTCTTGGCTTTAAGACAGTGATGTCAAACTGCGTCTTGTTCGTTTTGAATGTTTCAACCCCAGGATATTTCACTTTCTTGCTTCCTTTCTTATTTTCTACATGACTTCTTTCTTTTTGTTCTCGCTATAGTTTTTATTTTATTTTATATATCGCCATACCTGTTTGTCTTATTTCGGTGTGCGTGTGTGTGTCTGTCTGTGTGAATTACATTTTTTAGAAGCTGTTTTCATTTCCTCGTTTGATCAGTACTTCTCATGTCTGTATATCCCCATACAGTTGTTATCATCATCATCATTATTATTAACATCATCAGCGTCATTATCAATAATGTCATCTTTATCAGCGCCAACAGCATCGTTGAGCCGTTTTCAGATTTAAAATAAACAGGTAAACATTTACAGTGACCCTGCCTCTAACAAGGCTCACTGACCTGCCGCTGTTTGTTTTCTCTGTCCAGGTACATTGTGGTGTGTTTCCCCTTCCAGGCCAGCTCCATGTGCAACGTCTCCAGGGCCAGGAAGGTCATCGTCGGCCTCTTCCTGCTGATGCTGGTGCTCAACGTCCATTTCCTGTGGACGGCAGAGATAATTGAGGTCAGCACAGTTGTGTCTTGTTGGCTTCAGTTAAGTGTTTGTTAGAGCTGTTCTAGTCGTGTCTTGTTGGCTTCAGTTAAGTGTTATTGAGAGCTGTTCTAGTTGTATCTTACTGGCTTCAGTTGAGTGTACGTTACAGCTGTTCTAGTTGTGTCTTGTTGGCTTCAGTTAAGTGTTTGTGAGAGCTGTTCTAGTTGTGTCTTGTTGGCAAGTGTATGTTAGAGCTGTTCGAGATGTATCTTGTTGACTTCAGTTTAGTGTTTGTGAGAGCTGTTCTAGTTGTGTCTTGTTGGCTTCAGTTAAGTGTATGTTAGAGCTGTTCAAGATGTATCTTGTTGACTTCAGTTTAGTGTATGCTAGAACTGTTCAAGTTGTATCTTGTTGGCTTCAGTTGAGTGTATGTTAGAGCTGTTCTAGTTGTATCTTGTTGGCTTCAGTTAAGTGTTTGTGAGAGCTGTCCTAGTTGTCTTGTTGGCTTCAGTTAAGTGTCTGTGAGAGCTGTTCTAGTTGTATCTTGCTGGCTTTAGTTGAGTGTATGTTAGAGCTGTTCAAGTTGTATCTTGTTGGCTTCAGAGAGCTGTTCTAGTTGTGTCTTGTTGACTTCAGTTAAGTGTTTGTGAGAGCTGTTCAAGTTGTATCTTGTTGGCTTCAGTTAAGTGTTCGTAAGAGCTGTTCAAGTTGTATCTTGTTGGCTTCAGTTACGTGTTCGTGAGAGCTGTTCTAGTTGTGTCTTGTTGGCTTCAGTTAAGTGTTTGTGAGTGGTGTTCAAGTTGTATCTTGTTGGCTTCAGTTAAGTGTTTGTGAGAGCTTTTCGATTTGTGTCTTGTTGGCTTCAGTTAAGTGAATGTTAGAGCTGTTCTGATTGTGTCGTGTTTGTTTCAGTTTAGTGAATATTAGAGCTGGTCTAATTGTGTCTTGTTGGCTTGAGTTAAGTGAATATTAGAGCTGGTCTAATTGTGTCTTGTTGGCTTGAGTTAAGTGTTTGTTAAGAGCTGTTCAAGTTGTTTCTTGTTGGCTTCAGTTTTGTGTAAGTTGGAGCTGTACTAGTTGTGTCTTGTTGGTTTCAGTTAAGTGTTTGTGAGAGCTGTTCTAGTTGTGTCTTGTTGGTTTCAGTTAATTGTATGCTAGAGCTGTTCTAGTTGTGTCTTGTTGCTTTCAGTTAAGTGTATGTTAGAGCTGTTTAAGTTGTATCTTGTTGGCTTCAGTTAAGTGTATGTTAGAGCTGTTCTAGCTGTGTCTTGTTGGCTTCAGTTAAGTGTATGTTAGAGCTGTTCTAGCTGTGTCTTGTTGGCTTCAGTTAAGTGTATGTTAGAGCTGTTCTAGCTGTGTCTTGTTGGCTTCAGTTAAGTGTATGTTAGAGCTGTTCTAGCTGTGTCTTGTTGGCTTCAGTTAAGTGTTTGTTAGAGCTGTTCTAGCTGTGTCATTAAAAATAACCATAACAGAAACAGAACTAATCACGTTCAAAAAATCACAGCTACAGACGTCGAGATGAACGTTGCGGCTAAAAGACCTTTATCGACACGCACACATACACACACGCACGCACAAACGGACAGTGATACAGTTACAAATAAGAATACTTCAGCTGTCTTTGCGGTGAGGTGTCCTACTAAATCGTCAACACAACAAGATTGTTGTGACTGTCTGTATTAGCTCTTTTATACTACAGCTGTGTTGTTTGTACTGGAGCTGCCGTGGTTACGCAAGCGCCTTTGAAGCTGCATCACATATTTAAATGATTAGTTAGTCAAAGTTGTAATCCCACTGCAGACAGGCTGCACCATAACTGATCTATCCCTGTGTCTGTGGTCTAGTCAACCCGGCTGCTCGGCGGCTGGACTCTCGCCTGCCAATCCGACGTTCTGGGGTTTAAATGCATATCGATGCAGATTTAGGCTTTTAAGACGACCTCACTCAAAATGGGTCACAAGTAAAGTCCTGGGAAGTAAATGCGACCGGTATGGTGTTGACTACATCGCCCACCAAGTGATCATTTGGTTATGGCAATTTGTCTAGCCACTGGTGCGAGAAGCGTCCTTTAGTTTAGTTACTGTTCTGTCTCTTAACGTTTGAATGTGTTGTATTTGAACGGCCAGGAACATGAACAGATCATGTGCCGGGGAGGGGAGCACTTTCGACAACTGGTGGAGGAGATCTGGCCCTGGGTGGACACGCTTATCTACAGCTTTCTTCCCTTCCTGACCATCACCATTCTCAACGTTTTCATTATCAGAGAGGTAAGGCGGGTTGAACCAACTATAAACTTTTGTTAACTAGTGCTTAATAGAGGAGCCGCGTTAGCGCTGTCGATAGGAGGCTCGCTTTCAAATCCAGCTGCGACTTGCTGCAGTCCACGGCCGATGTACGAAACCGGGCGGTTCCCGGGGTTCACCCAGCCTCTAGAAAATAGGTACCAAAGTTGACACTCTGGGGTGAATTGAAGAACTTCGCTGTAGCTACGGAGTTACGCGCAGACGGCGACACAGGCAGACAGTTTCTTATCAGCTGTGCGTACTGGTGGCAGAGCACTTATGGTTTTTAACCGTGTGCAATGACGCTGGTTCCCATCTCCAGACTTTACCTTTTTGTATAGAGGAAGTGAAATGGTAAAATCGCTCAGGTTAAAAGGACTGTGGCAATTGGTTGTGTATCGTTTACAGAACCTTACAAAACACTTGCATGATGTCCAATGGTAGCTCACGTAAATGCGTTTACAACATAATTTCGAAATGTTATAATAAATAGATAGTGGAACGTAAGGTCATGTTTGTCCAAGATATTTTGGGTTCAAACCTCATTTGTTTAAAAAAAAATTAAATGTTTGTGACAGTTGCGTATATTTGAATTGATGTCAAAAAAGGTTCTATACAGTGACTTACTCAGAAGCTATATGTCAGGCATACATTATCGTCTAGTGATATATGGTCTGCAGTTACTTGTGGTTTCATGTCTCCGGGATATTAGGATATTTTGTTATTTGTAAATTGTGATGTTAAACCCTGACTTCGCGGCGACCGGGTGACGAACTTCTTGTGGTAAGAGTTCACGCCCGGGTATCAACAGAAAAAAAAAAAAAAAAAACATTTCTCCCAGATTTACGGTATCTATCATGGAATCAAGGCTGAAGGGTTGCCAAAGGGTTAACAACTCGTTGTTTTTGGATATCAAAGAAAAATGGATGGGTAATCAAGGGAGAGGTGGATGGAAGAGTTGATGAATAGACAGACGTATACATAGATAGGTAGGAACGTGGGTAGATTATTAGCTAGTAAGTTACATCAGGTGAGCTGCCTCTGTGAATTCGCACATCTCTTGTAGCTCCTGTATGGTTTCCTACAACTTTGCCTGCACACTTTGCTCTTGAGGTGTAGGAAGTATAGTGTACATGCCTGCAGAATGTGCCCAGGTGTTTGTGGTCTAACATGCACACAGCAGGGACTGTACAGTCTGTATTTTATGCATGTAGGCTTTGAGCCTGCGGTGTCCTTTTCTTGGATAGAAAATGTTTTTATGTTGTTTTATGTTGAGTCAGTTGATGGGGTCTTATGGATGTTTACTGTTGTTTTGGGCATAGGAAAGAGGGAAGAGATAAAAAGATTGTTACAGATACGGCGCAGTAGATGCTGACAGATAGAGAAAGCAGAACAGTCAAAAATGACATAAATTCGATAACATATCGACTGTCGTTAACAGGTGGCAGGGGCCCATTCCAACAGGGCTCGCTTGGCGGCCTCGGAGTCAGAGACCTCATGCATACCCCCAGGGGGCACCAACGCAAGTGGGGGCCCCGCGGCGAGAAGGGGCAACACGTGCGAAGGGACCCGCCTGACCGCCCTGCTTCTTACAGTGTCCTTCACCTTCCTACTTCTGACCTTGCCCAACAACATCGCCTTGATCGTGTCCCGGTTCTGGAACCAGAAGTACGATAAGAAGGAAGACCAGGTCAGCAGTTTGTTTGTTTGTTTGTTTGTTTGGTTGTTGTAGTTTTGTTGTTACGTCTTGTCTATGTTTAAATTGCTCAATTCCGGAAGAAAGAGAAATCTCTGGGCGTCCACTAGTATCAACAGTTTTTTAAACAAATGGTTTTTATGGAAAACAATGAGCATCCTGGCTTACCAGTGATTGACTTTACGTGATTTCAACAGGCGTAGCAATAGATCAGTTATTGTGGAATTTGTCTGAGGAGAAGGGCGCTGTGGGGAGTTATCAGGGGATCTGGCCGACGCTCAGCACTCAGGAGAAGGGGGAGACGGATATACAATCAACCAGTTACTGGTACCATCGACACACACACGCATACACACACACACACACACACACACATACACTTGTGAGAAGATTATTTAGCAGACAACGTTGAATCGGCAACACTCAAAAGACTTCAAGAACTTCGGGTCAAAAGAGGTGTTGCCAAACAGGAACACTATACAGGTAGTCAGAGAAGAATAGTCAACCAACACAGAGACTGGTGTTATCAGTCGCCAAACTCAAAACTGGGGGGATATTCTAAAGATCAGATCCAAGCGCTTATGGACTTGTCGATTCACTGTCGATTAACTAACTAAATAACATACACAAACACTATATATATATATATATATATATATCATCATCATCATCGTCATCCTCATGTAGCAGGTCGTTTGCAGAATGTCGCTCTGATCACGGTCTACCTGAAAGAAACTCGGTCTCTCATATATATACATACTATGAGGTTAGTCGCGTATCTTTTACAGGGCGTTGCAGAACCAAAGCTTGTTTAGGTTTTGATGGGCAGTTTTTGATTGCATAGTTTGCACATTCTTCACGGTCGGCGCCCAATACCATTGTCGTAATCAACGCAAAGCGACCTGTTGCTAAATAACCTGCAGCTGCAGTCGATCTGGGTATTTCGGTATTAGGAAACCGCAACCGCAAAGCCCCAGCTACAGTCGCCCACCGTGTGTATGTAATATTGAATAGTTTATTTTTTTAGCGAGTGTAATTCTATCCGTGCCAGGTAAGGGATGAAGTGTGATTGTATCGTTCTGTCTATCCACCCAACACATTTGCGTTATCAGTATCACCATCGTCACCACCACCACCACAGTCGCAACGTCCTCTGTCGGTAAGCATTGGCTGTCGTGTACCGCTATCTCACATGATCATTAGAATCTGTGATCACGTCAGTTTTCTTGCCCACCTCCATCCACATAGCCAAGTTGTCCTGTATTTATCTTTTCGGTTTTCTTTGTGCTTGGTAAATATTTTATGATAATCATCATCATCATTATCATCATCATCACTCACTTCTGCCGTTAAGCGTTGTGAGAGGGAACAGTTTGCGATCCATTGCTTAAAGGGCAGCATTGGCTACTGTCATTGCGTGTCGATGTAGAAGCTCTTAAATGTCATCAATCCATGTCCTCCTAGGTCGGCCTCTTGTTTTCACTTCAGATCTGTTCATGTGTAGCGCCTATGTGGGTAGTAGTTGTGGCTGTATTCTTACTAGATGACCAAACCATTTGATCCTCTGTTTTCCAGTGAATGTTTTGCACGGTGTTGTTCCTTCATTTCTGACTTTGTCTTAGATGGCTAAGTTGAGTTGGCAGCTTTTCTCGGGCATCTCGTTTCACATGTATTCATTTCACGTAAGTTCTTCTTCTTAAAAAAGTGCATGTAATGTGGCATTGGTAGTCGTGTCTATCCACAACCTTATGTCTGCTGTACTTCGAATCAACTCTGAAACAGATGACCCACCATGCCATGATGTCACACTGTCCAGCCATAAGTGGGTTTCCTGGGCAGTCATGGTAAGTAAAGCCGGCCGGTCTGATGATGACTACAGCACGCACCTAGTGCCGAATGGTCTATAAAATATAGGTCTAGCCCTATGTGTCCAGTATCCCTCAAGGCGTGGAAAAGAGTCCTATTTTATGACAATCATCGACATCATCATCATCATAAACCACTTCTGCCGTAAAGCCGTGTGTGAAGAAATAATTTGCAATCCAATGTACCCTGGCTGTCGTATGGCAGTTTCGTCACGCGCCTTTACTTCCGGATAACTTCCCCAAAATCCTCAGGTGCTCTGAGATAGGGGTGTTCTGAACGGTGGCTCTCGTTTGTCTAGAGGCCTAGCCCTCGGTTCAAACTTCCATTCAGCCCATCTCATGAATGAGGTTACTCGAGTTCTGACTCCTCTGGGTGAATACAAACTCTTGGGTACTACTCGGCCAGACATCCTCATTGCTAATTTTGCCCCCAGACTAGTAAATTACGTTAACACAGTCAAATATATAAACAACAGTCGATTAGACAAGACATTATTGGAATCCCAACAATCACAAGTAACTAAATCAACTCAACTTTGTTCAAGAGCAAGAAGACTTCCGAACAAAGATCAAAGTGTAATAGAACGGTAACAAAATTGAGAGACAACATATTCCGGTGAAATAGCATGAAAGTTCAACTTGAAGTTGCAGAACTAGAATCGACAGACAAATCTCCTTCAGGTGCCAACAATAGGTCCACTATCATCACTGCAGGGGGAGAGAAGCGAGATAGCTCGAGGTTTGAGAGCGGTCGTCATCACTGTATCCCTTGCAGATAACTGGACTTTTCTTATAGGAGTCTTCCAGTGTATCAACAACGCAGGACTGTAGAAATCTATGGTTTCTGGACTCTCTACGCCTTGCATGAAGTGATAGTACTCATCGCACGTTAAGAAAGGAAAGATTTATTCATCTTTTAGTGACTTCGCAATAGGCAGATCACACCCTAGTTGATCTTTATGACTCGACTTCTTCAGTGTAGTGACTCGGTCGTAGTTAGCAAACGATACAAGGTTACCTGATGCTCAGCCGCACTGCATTTGCATGGGCGACATAACGGTGTTGCTCGAAGAGGCAAGATGGCGGTCTAAAGGACAGTCTGACTATAACTTTGACACTTATTGGATTCTCCGGCATCCTGCAATTAACAAGGCGTTATCTATGAACACACCCCACTCTATACCACCTGCCACTTACACACTTCACACTCTGCATATGTACTCAGAGGTAACTGTGAGGCTAGTCATTTAAGGTGACCTTCCCTTCAGGAACCTTTACGATTCCTTAGGGTGAGTGTAATTGCTAATCAGACATTTACATCGATTCTAAAAGACTAAGAATCCTGTCCTGTAGCCAAAGGCAGTCAGATCTCTATCAGTCCCCATCCCTCTATATATCCCCACTTCACTAGTTGGAAAGATTACGTAGATGAGATGGATATTAAAGACAAGATAGGAGATTTGACTCACAAAAGCTTTTCTAAACGCTGAGCTTGTTTTGGTTACAGTCGCCCCTAGCAACGTCGGATGTGACGTCATGCTTTCCTAGAATAGCGCTGCCCCTTCTCAGCAGTCAACCAACTCATCAAGTTCAGAGACCAATTAAAAGATAATTTCAGATCATACAAGTTTCTCAAGACATTAATTACACTCCAGACAGGTGGACTAATCGATACGAAAAGGTTTAGAACGCAGACTAGAAGAATTTACGAAGAAATTTCAGCCGAAATAGCATTCCCACCAGCAATGCTATCGTCTCTCGTCGCAGGCGATCGTAGACAGAGAGATTCACATTATCATTCTGCTTACCTTTTCTCGCAAACACATACAGGCACTGAGCACATATATGCAAATATATATATATATATATATATATATATATATATATATATATATATATATATATATATATATATATATCCCTTTTAGGAAAACTTACCCTTGCAAACGAATGTTTTCAAAGAAAACGGTTAACAATCAAGTGGCTGTAGTGCCAAGACACAACTAATCACTGGAAGGGACTAAGCATAAGTGACATACAGAATTCTAGTCCCTTACTACAACAGTTGGGTCGAGGATACGGCTCAAGCACGCGGTGAAGCGGTCAAACTATTAAGCTTGAACAGGCGCAGAAAATGTGTCCTATCATACACAATGACACTATACGCCAAGAAGGATCAATCCAGGAGCGATTTATATAGGTTTCTCACGAACTATATATCTACGGACGGACTATCCGAGATTATAGGTACACCAATTAATAGGGGAGTCACTGCTGTCATGCGACACTGGCTGGCACTGGCTATTCTCATGCCGTGAAGACGTACAATGTCTTTAATGTCGTCCTTCCATATTTGTCACAGCTGCCCTCTTGCTCTTGTAGCTGATCTGAGATGTAGTGCCGGTGATGGTATTTGATGTTGCTAATTTCTAACGAGATAACTCAAACCACGTCATCTACCGTTTCTCAACAAATCTAGTACAAGGTGTCGCTCCCACAGTCTGTCTGATGGTATCATTGTTCACTTGATCTCGAACGGTTAAGTACAGCATAACACTGTCATCAGGAAAGATGGAAAGTTACCACCTAACTAGAATGCAGACAATAAGTGTGTATATACTTTTTGGTGACGAAGTTTTGTAACTCTTCTCTTCTGTCCCTTAGCTCCTATTTACTTATTGCATGTGCCAGTGTTCCATCATCGAATGGTCAGATTTGTACTTTACCTTTTGAGGTTTGAACAACGGATCAACATCGTGGCACACGGGTAGAACCATAAGTGTTCTGTTCTGTTTTTTTTTTTCTTCTAACTCAAGTCTGAATCCAAAGGAGCTCAGCACAGTACACAGGCTCTAGAGAACCAGCGAGGATCCTGAAATACTTTGGGTAGATTTTGAACACTAGCCCAGTGTCGTGGTTTTGTCGTCTCACTGATACCAGGTTGTAGCCCAATGTCGTGGTTTTGTCGTCTCACTGGTACCAGGTTGTAGCCCAGTGTCGTGGTTTTGTCGTCTCACTGGTACCAGGTTGTAGCCTAGTGTGGTGGTTTTGTCGTCTCATTAATAATAGGGTTTAGCCCAATGTCGTGGTTTTGTCGTCTCACCGATACCAGGTTGTACCCAGTGTTTT